TAAAAATCTTAAAGCTTGTCGCAAATTTAATAAACAATAAGAAATGCATTGATTATCACGTGTACGGACAACTCCCCTACACGCTGAGTCTTTCGGTGGGCTTTGAATATTGGAACCTGACATCATACGACGCGACAATAGGGTAGCGATACATCGTTATGGCGGTAAATTACAACTTTTTTTTTTAGATTTAAACCTTTCGTTAAATCATGTCAATCAATTTGAGCTTGATCCTATTACTTCTGATAAATATTAACCACTTACTTCTATAACAACCAATATACAATTGCTTCAATGTCTTTTCAAAGAAGACGCTGTTGTATGTATTTATAGAAAAGAATATAAAATTCTTGTAGCGTTACTTAATTTTATGTAATAATTTATGATAAATTATGACCTGATCTGCTCGGGTTGGGTTCGGGTTCAACCCCAAATCCGATCCTAATGACCCTTTCGGAGCACTAGATACTATACGTATTCTGGTTGCATTGGCTTTTAGGCCTATAAAAGGAAGTTTTTTACCGTTGCTACGTACGTATAAACAATAAAACAATGCTCAAATAGCCAAAAATAGAAATTTGAATAGAATTATCAATTCTACGTAGCAATAGCGTCTAATTACGTGCAATACTAAGTACGCGGTTCAGAATTTAGTATATATGTATATAAAGCACTAGCGCTCTTTAAAAAAAATAATAAAAATTTCACTCCTTAAAGACAAGCTAAATATTGTAAACGTCAAGATAACATACAAAAAAAAAAGTCTCTAACATACTTTAAATAATCAGCCCAGAAAAAGATGTTAAAAATGTTCATCCTGATTCATTACTTGAAACTCAGAATACTTTGAGGTAAAGAACTTTCATTAGAATATTTTAATATTATTTCAAAAATTAATATCTTCACAGAAAACGGGATTTGAAGTTTGAAAAAGCAAATAATTATCAAACCATTCTAACAGAATTACTTAGTACTACGTCGACAAATGTGAATATTTTATTTCTTCTATATAACCCATCATTTGATCTCCAGAGTAAAATAAAGGCCATTTGGAAAAATCTTTCAAGGGCTAGACGACTAAAGAATCGAATTGGAGATATGATTACGCTTTCTATTTGGGTCAATTATTGGAAACAGCGACTACTTCTCCAGAAAGAGCAATGTGTGCAAGTCTGCTATCTAGATACTTTGTCATAGCATCCGTAAAAGCTTATTATCTTTTTGAGAAGCTCGGCATTAAACAAATATATAGGACTTTTATTATGAATTTAAGGATGATTTATAATTTGAAATTCAAGGAATTTCAAAATCTAATTAGCACGTCTCAATATAATTTTTTATTATAATATAAAAATAAATATTTAAAAATTTAAATTTATTTTTAATATTATTATTAAATTTTAAATTATTTGAAATTATTAGTTTATCATTTTAAAGTTTTTTTTTCAACACAATTTATTAGCAAAATATTGCGAAAATAGTTTCATTCGAAACCCATGAATCTTTAATTCAAATTTTGACAAAGGTTACGCTAATTTTTTTACTTTTCAATAAATTTGTTATGGTATTATCAAAATTTTTGATTTTGATTTAAAAACCTATATTGCTTTTAATATTTTATGTGTAATTCCAAATGCATTACATTTATTCTCAAGTTTTAATAATATCATTGTTTTGTTAGGAATGGGGAAAATCTTGATATCAATTTAATACAGAAGCTTCCTGCCGGACCGATAATAAGGTTAGACTCTCCTTCACAAAGAAGAAGAAATTGAAATGAAAAGTTGCCAATGTGTATGCTTGGTATCAATTTGCGTTCCTTCGAACTTAATAAGTGCAAATTTTAAAAATTTTATTATTTTAATTTTTTTTATTTTTATTTTTTTTTTTATAAAGAATTACGGCATTTGATGAACTTTTTTTATTTAATAAACAAAGCGCAATATTTTTATCTACTAGGAATTTTTATAAATTAAATTGAATTTAAAGAAGAAATGTAAATTACGACTATAGTTAACTAAATAGTTTTATTATAAATTCTTGCTAGTTATTGTTTTTCAGATCACTCTCTAATTTAATGAGTTATATAATGAACCTATTTTTTTTTTTACAAAACACCAAAATATTATTTTTTTGTGACGAACTGGAAATTTATTATTATATGTCGAATAAAAATAAATAACAATAAATCAAAAGATCTGTTGGTTTATTTAGCGAATAGTATATAATAAGTTTGATTATTGTTACAATAACTATAAAAATTGCCAGCTGTGGAGAACAAATTAGCATGTGACAATTTAGAATTGACAAAGGTATGAAGTTATAATGCTAGGAGAACAGAAACTGTTGTTAAGTCGAAACAATTTATTTTAAAGACAGTATTATAATGGTCAAATCATTGTAATGTAGATTACTATATAGGATGGCAACTAGTAATTCGAAATTATGTTAGCTTTTGATATTCATTAGAATCACCTTGAAAATTCTACGTTTAACTTTTGCGAAAGCTCTAAGTTTCTACAGATAGAGGTCTGATCTGGTGAATAGTATATTTGAATATTCAATAAATATTCGAATATCCGAATACAGTATATACTGTAATTGTTTCACCAAATAATTAATTGAATATTCAATAAATATATACTATCAATTAAATGCAAGATTAGGTGTTATATGTTATACACAATCTTATATACTGATTGGTTAGCAATGCTAATAATCATGAGCCCAAATTAAATGAGCAAAGTAAATCCTTATTAGCAAGAAGATTTCTCTATTGATTTATTTATTTTAATGTAGCTTTTAAATATAAAACTCATTTGTTAGCTTGTGTATTTAAACTCTCAATTATTCAACTTCATAATATTGTCAATTCATTATTGTTTTGAATCAACAACTCTATTTCATAATTATCAATATTGCAATATTTAATGAATATTCATTTGAAATTTGCTGATAAATGTTTAGATATTAAAAAGAATATTCAAATACTTATTTTTTGATTGGATCAGACCTCTATCTACAGAAAATATAGATATAATATATTATGCAAAAACTATTATAACTATCATTAATACCAACAAGATCAGATATCTATAAGATATTGGTTTTGATAGATAATATAAATTGATTTGATTGGCTCATCAGATTTTGTATAACAGATTATATAATATAAAAAATATATATTGTATAGTTGGATAGTATCATGAGGCTTAGGAGATTGTAACAAGTATGTTATCATTTTTTTTTATAGTGATTCTTGGCAGTTGTAGCTCCTGGTTACACATTGCATACATTTGTATTAGCTATACTAGTTTTGGTAGTCCCAGGCCTTTATAATATTTAAAGACTTCTATATAGATATACTCAGAGCTTTGTTGGATCTTAATATATACACACCTTTATGTTTTAGCCTTTTTTTAATATTTAATAAATAATTCTATATAGTATTAGAGGTGTTTCAAATCTGATAAGGCTAATTCTTTACTACAAATCCCTTTGTATTTACTACTTTTCTTATTACTTCAATTCTAGTTACTGTCTAGTCATCTTTCTAAACAAAATAGCAATACTGCTTTAGGGTTGTTGATACTATTTATATCAATTGGGAATTTATATACACAATCTTTGTATAATAGAATTTTCTATAACAACTATCATTATATATAATACCAACTTCTCTATAATAGGCAACTTTCTAGAAAATCTAGACTTGTACTTACTTGGGCTTCTTATAGTAAGTATATTTAAATATTTGTAAATTTACATTTATTAAAACTTGAACCTAAAATTTATTTGTAAAGAATTGGGTGTCTAAACCACTAGATCGTAAAATCTCAATCTTTTAAAAAATATATAAATTAAAAAATACTAGATTTTAATAAATACAAGACTTTTTATATTTTAAAAATTGTTAAAGAAAATTTATTTACAAAATTCTAGTTATATTTGTAAATAATTAAACAAGTTATCAATATATTGTTCTAATTCATCAACTTTTTATTAATTAAAAAAAATAATAATTAAATCAATAATACTATATAATTTATTATAATAATTATAGCAAAATAGTATAATAAGAATAGTATAGTATAAGCAATTATATCAATATAATATAAATATAGATCTGCTATTATATATATAATACCAAATTAGTATAATATAATTTTATATTTAGTAAACTAATAAATTTCATTATATTATATAAAATACTAGTTTTATAATCTAAATTTTAACTTTCTCAATCACCAAAAATTAATATATTCAAGATTATAAATTATATAAAAACTAATTTTATTAAAACTTACTAAAATTATATAAAATTACATTGCTACATATTAATTAAAAATAATTTCTATCTCTAATACTAATATATATAATACCAAATTAGTATAATATAGATTTTAAAAATTAGTTTATACTATATAAATCTGCTTACTTAAATTATACTAATTTGTATAATTTTTTTTTTTTTTTTTTTTTTTTTTTTTAATATTAAGGTGACTACTTAGGCCCCTGGCACTTGGCTTTATTTAGATAAATACGATATTACATCAATTTTCACGAGGATACAACTAGCCACACGTGTACTTTTG